CGCTCGGGCTCCGCGGGCGGATGGACAGGCGGCGGCTGCGGGGTGAGTCCGCCCGGCGCGGACACGCGTGGGCTGCGGGACGGCGGCGGAGCGCGGCGGGGGGACACTCGTGGGCCGAGCGGGCGGGGGTCCCGGGCACTCGTGGGCCGTTCCTGAAGGGACGCGGGTCCCTGGATGCGCACGGGCTGGGCGAGGAAGCTGCGGTTCCGTGCGGTGGGGGTTGGGTCCTGCACACGCGTGGGGTGCGCACGGTGGGGCTGGGGCCGCGTGCGGGTCCGAGTCACGCGTGGCTTGTCCTGTGAGTTGTCCCGCACACGAGCGGGCTGCGGGCGCGGCGGTGCCCCGGAATCCCGGGGACACGGGGGCTGTGTGTGCTTGGAGGGGCTGCGGGACTGTGCCGGGTGCGAGCCCCGCGTGGGCTGCGCGCTGAGTGGGACCGGGAGCTCAGCCTCCCCCCAGCACCCCGCTCCACACCGCAGCACCCAGACAGGGCGAGGGGGTCCCTTTTCTCCCACCTGGCGCCCTGAGCCACTTGCCTCCGGTTCGCAGCCACCTCCAGCCTGTAAATAATTTGCTTTTACGATCCCTCCTCTGGCCCATTATCACACGAACTTTATATGTTTGAGGCTGGTGGTGGCCATAAAGCTGTCCCGGTTTCCGGCGCTGGCGTGCCCGCCGGGCAGGCAGGGTGTGAGGAGGAGGAGGCTGGGGAGACGCTGCCCCAGGCCCCCCAGGAGGGCAGGTAGGCAGGGAGGGGTGCAGCAGAGCCCCGGGGATGCTCAGCTCAGTGGGGCTGGGATATGGAGTGATTGCAGCCCTGGAATCAGGCTGGAGCAGGGAGGGCTGTGAGGGAGTGGGGGGCACTGGGCTATTCGGGGGTGGGGGAGGAGGAAGAAGCGGGGTCCCGGCTCCGGTCATTCAGTCCCTCTGAAGGACCCACAGATGTTCTCTTCAGCTCCCCTTGGTTCCCACAGGGACGTTTACATCCCCCCCAGCCAGTGAGTCTAGGTCCTTGTCTGATCCCTGCACCTTGGAATCACAGCTCTGGGGGCATTTGGGCCCTGGTCCAGCGTTGAGGGGGCTCCCAAGATCTGTTTTTCTCAAGATGCTGTGTCTGAGCCCTGACCCCAGATCTGGAGTGTCTGGCACAGCCGATGGCCAGCTCCTCTCTGGCTGTGTCCCCCGTGCTCGGTTCCTCCTCATGTTGTCCCTCATGCCCCAGCCTGGCTCAGGGGTCTCCTCGTGCCTCTTGAGCTCCAGGTGTTCAGAAGAGGATTTGGGTTGCCTGTGCTGGGCCAACAGCCCTGTTGGCTCTGTGGCTGCAGGACCCTCTGTGGGCTCTCTCCCTTTGGTGCTCCCCATGGTTGGAGCCCCCGGGACCCTCACAGGGGTCATCTCACTGGCCAAGTCTGAATGACCAAGTACTGAGCCCAGGTGAGTGGGGATGGACACCTGGTGTGAGCAGCTGCTCCCAGGTGGAACCAGCATCATTCCCTGAACGATCCAATCCCGACAGGATCTGGGTCATGAGGGATGTGGGAATGTTCTGAGGCTGCTCCCTGCTCCCCTCTGCACAGTCCCAGCTGCAGGCTGAGATGGGCCCTCCCTCTTCAGAGGGGTGCTGGGGCTTCATGTCCCCAGCCTGTGCTTTGGTAAGATCCTCCCAGGTGAGGAGCTCGGTGGCAGCAGGTGACAGCTGCGAGAGCTTTGCCTCTGGCCTGTTCCCATCTCACAAACCTTCCCCGAATCAGCCATGCCCTCCTAATTCCTCTTGGTACTGCTGTGAAAGAAAAGGGTACCCAAATCACCTGTGGGTGTCCTGGGTGAGCGACTCCTCACTGTCTGCATCTTCCCACAAGGGGAATTGCATGGAGGAGGGAAAACCCCAAATCTGAGCAGATCAGTTACCTTTTCTTTCCAGGGAGGGGGATGGGAGAGACGAGATCTTGCTTGAACAGTCAAAGTAAGTTGCATTTGCTTTTCCCTGCTCCTCAAGGTCAGCCTAGCTAATGAAAATCAATCTTCCCTCTGCCTCTCTCTGCTGCATGAGCAGATTCTACCTGTCGCCCCTTCACCTACTTGAAAGCAGCGGCTGCCCCGTCCTGCCGAGCATGGGCAACGCCGGAGGGAGCTTCCTCCTGGAACGGCATCTTCCTGCGGGCACAGAGACAATATCCGTGGCACGGAGGGATCACTCCTGTGATCTGTCCTCTGTCCCGGGGAAGCTGGCTGTGCACGGGAAGCACGTATCCCACGTGGAGATCTGGGCTGGAAGTGGTGGGCTCTGGCATGCAGTGAGTGATGTCCATCCTCTGGGCACTCCTGGGCAGCTCCGTGTGCAGGTGGCCGGAGCGGAGCTTTGTGTCTCCCTCCCTCCCGGGGCTGGGAGCTGTCCCGTGGCTCTCCTCTCCTCTCCTCTCCTCTCCCAGCCCCACTGAGGGTTCTACCTGGCGAGGTCTGGCAGATGAAGGTTTGGAGATGGAGCTGCTGCCATGGGGTCAAGCCTGCCAGGAAGGGGAGTGGTGGGACATGGAGTCCCCCCTGCCCCATCCCACGATCCTCAGCAGTGCTGATGTTCCTGGGCATGGCAGGCTCTGCTGCCAGCAGCGCCACCCGGGAAGGGCCATGTCCTGAAAACAACAAGGGCAAATGGCACAGCAGGGGTGTGAGGGGTATGACAGGGCTTGCCTGTGCCAAGGCTGCCTTCCCTCGTGTCTGTGCCAGGTTTGAAGGGAAACCTGCCCTTCCCAATGCTCCTGATGGGGGCAAATTGGCTCCTGGGCTGGGGATGGGGTAGTGGGATGCTGCAGTCCCCCAGGACTTGGAGTCTGCGGGATGGTCCTGTCCTTGGCCAAACATAGGGCTCATTAGTTGCAATTTCATCCCTGGAAGTGTTGGTGGTCAACACTTGGTGGTTCAGTGGTGAATATGATGGTGGTGGTGCTGCTGGGTTGATGGTTGGACTTGCTGATCTTAGAGGGCTTTTCCAGCTTCAACGATTCAGTGATTCTAATTTGTTACTGCTGCTGCCTGGAGTTAGAGAATCTGTGTTCAGATTCCCATCCCAGTGCTCCCAGTGTGTGCAGGGAATGGGAGCAGAAGGCTGCTCAGGGTGTGCTGGGAACCTCCAAAGCAGAGAGAGCCCTTGCTCTGAGGGAGACGCCGTTCCCAACTCTGTCATGCCTCTGGATCAGTCACGGCTTCCCATTACCCCTCCTCCGGAGAGGGCCAGCACGTGTCCCTGGGGAAGGAGAAGGAGGTGCTGGTGAGGGGTGGGAAATCCTCTAGAAGGACACAAGAGGCTCAAAAGCACGGAGAGAGGCTGTGCCCACAGGGGTCGAGGGGCAGATCCGACAGCCCTTCCCTTGGGATGTGTCCAGCCTAAGTGTTCCCAGGCACAAAACTACTCTGGATCCGATTGCTGGAAATCATTTCATTTGGAGTTTTCCAGCCAGCCTTTGTGTCCTGCTTTGCTCTAATGGAAGGTGTCCCTGCCCATGGCAGGGGGCTGGAATGTGATGAGCTTTAAGGTCCCTTCCGTCCCAAAGCAGTCTGTGATTCAATGATTTGGATGGACATAACGGGGATATTTTCTCTCTTCCTGCCCCATCCTTTAGGATTTTTAGATGTGCCCTGATGCCGCAGGGTCTCCTGGCTCCTGGAAATGCAGCTCTCTTCCAGCGTGGCTGAACTCAGCTGTGACGAGACCATGGACCCACCCGCCGAGGATTTCCAGCAGGTCCTGTCCATCGACCAAATCCGCTCCATCCGTGCCAGCAACAACTACGTGGAGAGACCGGCGGCGTGCTTCCAGCAAGCCCGCTCCAACCCCTCGCTGTCGCAGCCCCCGCACAAGCAGGAGTGGTCCCAGGACCGCCTGGCGTCTTCCACCTTCCAGGACCTGCACCGCAGCCACAGCCAGCAGCACCAGATGCCGCCTCTGCAGCCGCACCTGAGCCACTCGAGCACGGCCAGCTCGGTGTCGCAGAGCACCACGGCCTCCGAGCAGCGCCTGCTGAGCAGCTTGACGCCGTCGCACTCCGGGCACTCGCTGGTGCGGACGCAGCCCCGCGGGGCTGAGCTGAAGGCGGAGGAGTCCCCGCGGAAGGGCGCGGAGCCGCCGCCGGCGCACGGGCACCTGCTGCTGTGCGAGGCGTGCGGGCGCTGCCGCTGCCCGCGCTGCACGGCCGCCCGCAGCCTGCCCTCCTGCTGGCTCTGCAACCAGCGCTGCCTCTGCTCCGCCGAGAGCCTCCTCGACTACGGGACCTGCCTCTGCTGCGTCAAGGGGCTCTTCTACCACTGCTCCACCGACGACGAGGACACCTGCGCCGACGACCCCTGCTCCTGCGGGCCGGGCTCCTGCTGCGCCCGCTGGGCTGCCATGAGCGTCCTGTCTCTCCTCTTGCCCTGCCTCTGCTGCTACTTTCCCACCCTGGGATGCCTCAAACTTTGCCAGCGGGGTTATGACGGCCTGAAACGCCCCGGCTGCCGCTGCCAGAGCCACACCAACACGGTCTGCAGAAAGATCTCCTCGGCCAGCGGCACGCCCTTCCCCAAAACGCTGGACAAGCCGGTATGACCCTCCCGAGGAGGAGAAGCGGGCTTTGCTCCTCTTCCTCCCCTTCCTCCTCCTCCTCTTCTTTCCTCCATCCCCCTTCTCCCTCGGCTCCCTCTGCTCTGCAGTGCCCCTCCCTCCCCACTATCACGTTCCAGGATTAAGACGGGTGACCTGGGGGATCCCCCAGGCTTTGGGATGCCCCGGCTGGGTGGCCGGGGGAGCTGGCACTGAGGGTACCAGTGGTTTTGCACATGCAGGAGAGAGACAGAAGAGTCAGAGCGAGCTGAGGGTGCCCTCCCTGGCTGTGTCCCACAGGGAAATGTGACCCAGAGGGTCCTTGGGACTCTGCCCCCATGGCCAGGGTACCTGAGGCCCCTCAGGGCTCTGCTCTCCGTAGTTTTAGGAGCTGTCCCACAGTGTGGTCCTTATCCGTAGGGAAGGAGACAGGTCAGTGCATCCCTGTGCTAGAGTCCCTCGGGAGCCAGACCCCTCCTCCCTCTCTTTCTCCCTCTCCTGCACTTTCTGTAGGTGGCCTTTCTCCCCTCAGGTGGCCACAGGTCCCTTTCCCCAAGGGGCTGGGGTGCCAAGGGGTCTCACCGGTGGCAGTGGCTTCCCTCCAGTCTTGGAAGCCACTGGGAGAAGCGAGCAAGCTCCAAAATGAGGTGGCACCATGTTTTTCTATCTCAAAGAGGAAGAGAAAGTGTGGGAAGCTTTAGAAACCTTCTGGCAGGGGAAGGAGCTATCGGAGGCAGCCCAGCCCACTCTCTCCTGCCCGACTGCAGCAAGGGAAAGGTCCCCTCTGGGATTTGGCTGAGAACAAGGAGCTGCTTGGAAATTGCCATTCATTTCTCCAGGCCTTGGAGGGCTGCCTGAGGTGGGAGCTGCTGCCTGGCTCCATCCCACCACCCAGCAGATGCCACAGGCACCAGCTCCGTGCTCGAACCCCGATCTGGTACCTTCCACCAGCACTGAATTCACTTTAAAAAAATATGGCAAAGCCAACTATGAGCAGCCACCGCTCCAGGGACTCCCCAGCGGGGCTTCTGTCGCCTTGCCTTGGGCTGAAGGACATGGAAAGCAGGAGGGGGTGTCGAAGCTGGGGACCCCGACCTTCCCTGCCTGCCAAGTTTCCTTTGAGTCCTCACCTCGCTGAGGAGGTTCTGCTACTCGCTGGCAGCCGGGGCTGGGGCTGGAGCCAGCCCTGGGGCCAGCCCTGGAGCCAGTCCTTGGGCCGGCCATCTGCAGAGCAGACGGACACTGCAATCCGGGTCAGGGCTCCAGGTTTCCTACTGGGATGATAATAACCCCAACTGGTTGCTGTGGCTGGGAGACTCCTGGTGGTCCTGGGCTCAGCCCCATGTCTGTGTAGTGCCAGCTCCTGGCTGTGACCCCGCTGGCATCATTTGAGGGAGTTTGGAGCCGGGATGGTGTCCTGGAGCTCGGCTCTGCCTGCCTTTCCCCTTCCCAGGTGTGTGAGCACGAGAGGAGGCAATGGTGCTCCTGGAGGAATATATGCAACACATCCCTTGGCTTCTCCAAGACCCAGCTCCCAGGGCCCATCCGTCACCTCCTCCCATCTGCCTCTTTCCGTAGAGTTCTGTGGATCTATTTTTGTAGATATAAATATGACGTTAGTATGGGTAGGTCTATTACTAATAATATTCATGATACTGCTGTGAACGGTGCCAGGTACAAGGTTTGGCTTCCTGGTGCACTTGCACAGGCTGGAAAAGATGATTTCCCAGTCAGTTTATTGCTAATCCCAGATCCTTTGCTCCCAGGTTGTCGGGAGTGGGGGAAATGGAGGTGTACGGATTGTCTGAAGGTCTGCACTGCAGGGAGGGTGGGATTCAGTGCTGGCTGAGAGGTGAGGCAGAAGTGGAATCTCATTGTGGGACTCCTCTTTCCATCCATTCACTTTCTAAAAATCGTGGTGGATCCAAGCTCCCTCTGTTGCAGGGAAAAGTTGTTCCAGGGAGTGATTCATCCCTCTTGGAAGCATTATTCATTAAATCCTGTGCTGGCTGTGCCCGGCTCCCCTGACTCAAATGGCACCCAAACATTGAACTCCAGGCTCCATGGGGAAGGGGGGATGAATCCCATGTCTGGTGGGAGGTTTGTGTAGGAGAATGTTATGGACGTGAGAGAAATCCTCTCCCTGACTTCACCCAGAGCCCGAGGAGGGATGTGGAAGGATCTGTGGGTATCTCAGGATGATGCTTTGGGATGCAGAGGGATCCCCTGGCATCAGGAAAGGACAGAGCCCCATCTGGGCATGGTCCATCCCTAAGGCCAGCCTGGACTCTGGAATCAATTGGATTTTAAGGCCATGATCTTCTCAGAGGATGCCCTGTAGGTGTGTGAACCCCTCTAAGATCATTCCTGTGGCAACAAACATAAAATGCATTGCTAATACATTTATCCTTATGCCAATAATTGCTTGGCTCCCTACTTGCAAGCGATGTTGTGGGGAGACACTTCCTCACAGAGTCTCCTTCCTTTGGAAGGCTCAGTTCACTCTTCTATTGGTGCTGATTAAACTCCTTCTTCATAAAAACCAGAGAGCATTTTTAGGGAGAAAAGGTCCCTTTTTCCCTGTGGGTTGGAGGAACTGTCTCCCTTGAATGAGAATGAGAAACAGTTCATTGAAACTTTTTAAAGAAAACTAATGAACAGAATTTTCCAACTTGCTCTACTTTGATTTTTTTTTCCTCCTCCTTTTTAAACGGATCCCACTTGTAAATTTAGTTACCACCTCTGTATCTTTGCAATTCATTGCTTCCTCTCCTGATGGTGGAATGACTCAACATGTGAAGCTTCATCATTTTCACGGCCTCCCAAGTCATGCGAGCGCAGGGTGACCTCCCCCAGGTGCTGGAGCTGGGGGTTGAGGAGAAGGCTGCCCATGGATCAGCTCCCCAGAGCCAGCTCTGCTTGGCACAGCAGCAGCACAGTGACCTTCAGCAACTGGGGGGAGGCCAGGACTGCCAGGACCCTCCACCTAATGGGCTTTTTCTGGGTCAGTGCAGAAGCTCTCTTCCTACCAGGGAATGGTGCCACAGTCTGGTGAGGGCTGAGGAGCACAACCAGGGCTCTGGAATGTCTCCTCTCCACGAAATGACAAATCTGGGGGATACATTTCATTAAAAACTGGACATGTAGAAGGGGAGGGATTTTAAAAGCTGTGGACATGGTTTACAGTGGCTTACAGTGCTGGGTTAGTGTTTGGACTCAGTGGTCTTAGAGGGCTTTTCCAGCAGGAATGATTCCACGGTTCTAGGAAATGGAGAGGACGAGAGCCCCAGCTGGCACCGAGGGCTGTGGGATCAGAGCAGGGCTTTGTTTTCACCGAGGGCAGTCACAAAAGCCACATTCAGGACCTGTGGGGGCTGGAGGAGTTCAGCTTGCTGGCCTCTGCCCTGCTCATGGGTGCAGATGGCTTCACCTGGAATTCCTGCTGCCCACTCCAGCTGGGGATCCTCAGCACATTTCCCCTCCTTGCTCTCATCAGGCAGGCGAGGTTGGGAAGCGCCAAAAGCTGTCCAAGGAGAAGCACCCAAAGCTCTGGTTCACCAACCTCATCCGTGGTGGGGAAGGCTGTGGGCAGGCTCAGATTCTTTCCCTGAGCTTTTCCCAACCTCCTCTGACGAGATCCATCCTGCTCCATCCCCAGCTCGGCTTCCAGGCTGTTTGGTTTGCCCGTGGAGAGAGCCCCAGTTCTGGTTGGGGTTGGGAGCCCCTTTCCTGCCCCACCCTCCATGAGTCAGATCCCATCTGCTCGGGGTGTTTGTCTGCAGCTGCCTGTCCCAGCAATTGGGTTTTCTCTCTGTCCTGACGTGTCTTTTTTGGTTTTCTTTTGGGAGCGTCACATGTGGAGCCCTCTGCTCTCCCACGGGGATGGATCTGCATTGTGAGGGAGCGTTCCTGGGCTGTTGTCTTCCCTTTGCCAGAGAGCATGCAGGGCTGGGGGCAGACTGGAGCAGGGAAAGAGATTCAGGTGCCAAAGGAGCAGGAAGCAGGAGCTGCTGAGCAGGACCTGAGCTCCCCCTGCTCTGCTCCCCATCCAGAACCTTCTTTTCCCACCCAGGAGTCCAAAGCTCCATCCATGCAAGAAGGTGTGATGTTTTTTGCTTCTTCCAAGGCTTCCCTTGGTCCCTTTTCCCCACTGGCAAATCAGTCCCAGCAAAGGTGGGGAGGGGTCATGGGGAGGGGTCAGGCTGGAGTGTCCCTCCCATCCCACCCCCCACCACTCCTGGTGGAAGGGCCAAAGAGGTCCTTGGGTTGCTGTCCACTCATCCTTGAGAAACATCAGTGCCTCAAAGAGCAGGGGGAAGCTCTTTGTGATTCACAGATTCCCATAAAATCCCACTGAGTTCACTCCTGCCCATCCCCAGGGGTGAACCCTGATGGAGGGAGGACAAATGCCATTGACCAAAAGATGCCAAAGCCTGGAATCTGAGATTAGGAACGACGCTGAAGTGTGGTAGAGAGGGGTGAGCTGGGTTTGAGGGGAGCTGCTGTGGGATTGGCACAGGAAAGGAGCCCACTATGCCCTAAACTCCTGTTCCCAGCACCACTGCTGTTGCTCTTTCCTGGGCTGTTCTGAGGCTGGAGAAAGCTGGGAGTGCTCAGACACTGGGAGGTCAAATGTTTGTGATAGGGATGTGATAAGGGCTGACCCCCACCCTAAACCTCACTCTTGGTCTTTAATGGGATCCAGTTCAGCCTTGGCTCCTCCAAGGAACCCATGGAGCCCATGGGATACTCTCTGATCCAGTTGGCCCAAACCACCCTGAGCTGGGACCTCTTTGGCTCAGTTTGCTTTGGGTATTTCCCCATGAGCACCAGAATCTCTTGCCAAGACTCCTGGAGTCACACTGGGAGTGGAGCTGGGATCTGTTCTCCTGCTTGGGGTGACATTGCAGAAGTATCTTGTGAGGACACAGTCCCGGGGTTCCTCAGAGGGGCACTGCAGGCACGGGGGGTTTTGGATGGATGGGAAGGGGTCACAGCCCGCCAGGGCAGCGGGAGGCTCTGGGTCCCTCTCCTGCTGTGCCCAAAGGGCTTTGTCATGAGCAGGACCTATCCCACCCCAGAGCTGGGCCTGGGAGAGGAGGTCCCACAACCTCTGTGCCAAGGTCACCCCAAGTCCCAAGCCTGGCCCGTCCCCACCTTGCCCCTTTCCCCCTTTCCACTGGGATATCTCCTGGCAGGAGCTCCTCATCCTCCTCCTCCTCCCCTGGTGTCCTCAGCACAAAGCTCTCCTTGGAAGATCCCCCTGGTCTCCACAGGACAGGCCCAGGATCCCAAGGCTCCCATCCCGGGTTTCTGGGTACAAAACCCTTCTGTACAGCCTGTAAAGATCCCTCCCTGGCTCTCTCCATTCCAGTTCCTTTCTTTAAGGTATAATATATGTTTATAACCTGATGGCTGTTTTTTTGACAATACTCTTGTACCTTTTAAGGGGAAAAAAGTTTAGAAACCAAAGTATTTATTTGAAAAGTTTATTTTAAAGATAAGAAAAAAAAAACCTATTTATTTTACTGCACCCTCTTCTGTTTGGTTTTCTTCTCTTGCAAAGCTGATAACTGTTACAGAACCACTGCTGAGGTGAAAGAAGTGATTCTATGGGTGGCTTCACAAGCCCACTTAGAGCAACTATTCAATAAAAATATATATTAATTTTGAATGTGGTCTTGTTCTTGTCTCCATGGTGGTCAGGGCATGGCTCAGGCTTTGTCTGGGGTGCTGGATGGCTGGGCAGGGACTGAGAACTGGAGAGATTATCCTGGCTTCCATGAGGTCTCCCCTGGGAGTCTTCTGATGCTCAAACCTTCAAAATTCAGTGTGGGCTTCCCTGCTGCAGCTGCCCCAGATTCCTGAGGAAGGGCTGGCTCAGGTGGCAAAGGGCAGGAGCAAAGAGGGGGAGATGAGGTAAGGAATTCCTGAGTGCTTGGGGCTTTCAGTCACCCCACAGACATCCCAACGTGCTCCCAAAGTCTCTCCCACTGCCAGAGGAGGGATGCCACAGGGCCATGGGTGTCTTCTGCAGGAGGTGCTGCAGCTGCCACCTGGCTCCTTCTCCAGCAGCTGCTGAAGGCACCTTGGAGGTGGGTTTAGCCCAAACCAGGAAGAATTCGGGCCACACCCCAGCAGCTCCTGGGCCAGGCTGGTGCCTCTGCTCCCTGTGCACATCTCAGAGCTGTGGACCCCAAAGCCCTGCTCATCCAGAATGCAGACATGCTCATCCTGAGGGCTCTCTGCTCCCCGAGTGCTCTTCTTTCACACAGCTGCTGGAGCTTTCCCCCAGCACCTCCAGAGCATGAGGCTCTCGCACACAGATTTGGTGGCTGATCAACCCCATGGTTGGTGGCACCCCCATTATTCCTCTTTCATTTGTTGGCTTCAGTGCCTACCCCTCAGCTTGGGCTTTTTTCCTCTCTCTGCAAGAGTCCTTCTTTTCCTAGGAGGGTTTCCCTAGGCCAAACTTGTGCTGAAGAGCATTCCCGACCCCTGTTCTGAATTAAACCCATGCACTCTGCACATCTCTCACCACAAACCCTTTTCCCAGGCTGGTTCCCTGTTTCTCCCTGTCTGTGGCATTGCTGGTATCAGATCCTGCTTTCCAAAATCGGTTCCAACGCCTCATCCCCAGCATCCAGGATCTGCCTGAGGGCTCTGGAGCACAGATGTGAGTCCAATCCCTGCTGTGACTCACTCTTCCCCTGCTTTTCAAACAAAAGATGGCTCCTGGCCATTTGTCACCCATTGGCTCCTTTCAGTGCCAAAGTCCCTCTCCTTTGGACAGAGCCAAGCACTTTCATTCCCAGATGTGCAGCTTTCTGTTAATGGTGTTAGAGCCCTATTGGTGCCTGTAGTGCCACCTTCCCAAGCCTTCCTTGTCCTCATACCACCAAATTTTCTGGCATCTCTGGGTCTCTCTCCTGTGGTCCTGTGGAGGAAGGCTCAGGAACTGAACTGCAACGTGAGATAGTGACCTACAGACCATGGTAATCTGAAACAGATGTTAATTGCTCACTTAAACATTTTCCTTCTGTATGAAGGAAGTCACAATGGTCCCAGGAATGACAAAAAAACTGCAAAAATTGTTGGGTTTTTTTTTTCCCCGAAGATTAGGGTGATTCTTTGAACTACACAGTCATTTTCTGTTTTGCATCCACGTGAGGATGAGGAGAGACTCCCCAGGCTTGAACACCCCATGGCACCTACCCCGGTGAATTCGGGCTCTGAGCCACCCAGAGGGTTTAGCCTGGAATAAGACCCCAGCTGTCCTTGGCTGACAGAGATTGTTCAGAGCTGAAATGTCCTGTTCTGTCCTGTCCCAGGACCAGCACAGCCTGAGCAAGCTCAGCTCTGTGAAACCCTTCTCAGACACCGACTATGTTTTCCAGAAGTGCATTTCCACCTTCCTGGTGTTGAAATCTTCCCTTGCCCAGAGCAAGCGAAGTCAGGCCAAGCTCAGATCCCCCTGAGGACGCCCAGGTGTGATCCAGCCCCGTGCCTGCTGGAGCATCCCTCGCATCCCGGGAAGGTGCCTGGCGGGCTCAGGAGAGCCGGGGAAGGTGTTTGCAGTCAGAGCTTGGCTGTCTAGACAGGAGAGAGAGAGGAGCCCTCAGAAGGAGTCATTCATCTCTTCCTAAGATGGCTAAATAGGTCAGATGACTCATGCCCTGAAAGTGCCGATTTCTCTGTGCTGACTACAAAGAGGGAAGGAGCTCCGCCGTCCCCCCGCGCTGCAGACACCGAGGGGAGCGGATCCGAGCCTGCCTGGTGGATGTGCCCTGGCTCAGCAGGGAATTCAGCCTCCCCGGGGATCCTCAGTGCTGCTTCTTCAGGGACGCTGATGAGGAGACGGAGGATTAATTAAACACGGGTGGGTTTTGGCTTGTGCTGAAGGTGATGCCTGTAGGAACCTGGGTGTGCAGAGCTGGGAGGGATGGGGCAGAGGGTCTAGCCCAGTTCCCTGCTGTCACCCTCGGCTGTAGGGACCAGGGGCCACGAGTTCAGGCTGGAGGGATTTGCACAATGGCTTCTCCACCATCAGAAACCCTTTCCTGCTTGGCCATGGTTGTGCTCTGGTTAGGGCTGAGGGCACCTCTGCTCTGACACCTCTGGCCTCACAAAGCCAAGACTGCTCTGGGCAGAGACAAGGGCCATTTTTGTGTTGCCCCACCACTGTTCAGAGCTGCTCAGTGCAGAGTGAGGTTTAGGAATCCCTGGAGGCATCACAAGGTTGAGGGGGCAGCTCTGAGGGCAGCCAGGAGCCTTTGGAATATCCCCGACAAGAAATGAGCCCCTCAGGAGGGTGACCTGTGCTGTGATTGCAGCCCTGGAGTATGGGGGATTTGCTCCCTGCAGGAAGGAGGGTCTCCAGGACCCCGGTGTGTACAAAAAGGACAGTTTGCACCCTCAAAAAAACCAAAATGCCTGCGGGTTTCAGCACTGCCTGGATATCACTCTGGCCACACTCTGGCCCTGCAAAACATCACGAGATTGGCTTAAAAATCAAGATGCAGCTCACAGCAGATTCTTGTTTTTCGCTGCTGCTTTTGGAGGCTGACTGAGTCATGCTTACAAGCCTCCCCTGCCAGACAGCAGGGCTGGCAGCTCGCTGGGCCGTGGGGCGAGCACGGGATCCTCCCGTGGGCCCGAGCGGGGCCTGGGGACAGCCTGGTCCCCCCTGGCGTGCACTAGCTGTGCACAAAATGGCCAAGGATCCTAAACTGGGGGTGCTGCCCGACACCCAGCAGGGGTGGGAGGTCCATCTTCTCACTTTAGCCCGGTCACTGGCAGGCTCCTTCCTCCGGCCACCTCGCTTTGGCCTCAGCAGCCGCCGGTGCTCGAGCCACGGGGCTCAGGGGCATCCTGGGGTCCGGCCGAGTCCCAGCCCTGGGCCAGCAGCTGCAGAACATTGCAAAGCTCTCCACTGGTGTCTGAAGTGGGAATTTTTTCCCCTGGCTGGACACCCCTCACCAGGGTGTTCCCTGACCTCCTTCCTCTCTGTGTTCTGCTCCTAGGATGCACCTGAGGTTCAGGATATTTCTTCAAGGCACATCTAGAACAAAACTGTTTTCCTGATGTGGAACTCCAAATCCTCCTGGGGAGCTTCTAAAGGATTTATTTCCTGTATCCACTTCCCCTGTGCCTTGCTGCTCTCCATGAGGACATTTGCATGGTACAATAGGATCTCAGTCTTTTGATGTGCAATTATCATCTGCAGAAATGACTAATCAATTAAGGACAGTCACTCCCAGGCTTTCTATTTATTTCTTTCTCATTGAAACCAGAGCAAATGTGCCCTTTTTTCGTGGGGAAATGATGTTTTTTTCCAAACGTGCCTGCTAAAAACTTCCCAGCGGATCTGAAAATGACATCATGCCCTTCTTGGTGCTCGCTGTTGTCACTGTCAGCGCTGAGCTGGCCCTGCTGCTGACAACAAGTCCCTGTCACCAGCCCTGCCAGCTCAGCGGTGCCAGCAGGAGTGGGACACACCAGGAATGGCTCGGATCACACTGGGAGAGCAGCTCAGGCAGGTAAAAAGTGCCCAAAGTGAAAGCAAGCGTGAAGACACTCCACCTTAAAGGTGGTGAGCTCTGAGGGGAGATAGGGACTCTTTACAAGGACATGGAACAACAGGACAAGGACAATGTCTATAAGCTGCCAGAGGGCATGGATGGATGGGATATTGGGAAGTAATTCTTCCCTGTGAGGGTGGCAGGCCCTGGCACAGGGTGCCCAGAGCAGCTGTTGCTGCCCCTGGATCCCTGGGAGTGTTCCAGGCTGGAGCAACCTGAGATGCTGGAAGGTGTTTCTGGCCATGGCAAGGGTGGAATGAGATGATCTTCAAGCTGCCTTCCAATCCAGCCCATTCCATGATTCCATTATGGGCCCAACCTTCAGCAGCTGAGGGGGAAAATGGACTTCAGAGTAATGAACCAAGGGAGAAGGAGGTTCAGGTCCTTGGCACCTGCATGTAAGGACAGGCAGATGCACTTGGGAAGGGGCTGTGCAGGTGAGAGGCTGGGCATTGTCACCATCATAGAATCTTCCACCCACACACCTCTCTGCTCTGCCTGCTCATCCCACTGTTCCCAGAGCCCCTGGTGACCCTGAGCAGGGGCACAGAGCTGGGTGTGGCCTGGAGGCTGAGCTGGAGCTGAAAGAGAAGCGGAGCTGTTTTGTAACAGCCTCCCCTGGGGACGGATCACACCACACCGGAGAGCGCCTCCGGAGAGGCACGGCAGGCACGGAGGTGACCAAATGAATTGACACCAGGCAATTCTCAGTGGAGCTCCAGAGACAAAGTAATTGAAAATAAATGAAGGAACATGACACCTGGCTGGCAGATCAGTTATCTATAGCGTCCCTTTCCTGAAATAACTGCCTCCCAAACTCTGTCCGCCGAGGCAAAACCAAGGAGATGCTCACGTAAAATAGGCCACCCCAGCAGGGACTTGGAGGCCCCTTTATTTTTAATGGAAGCTGCCAGAAGGGTTAATTGGATGGTGCGTGGCAGTGCCCTCCATCTGGGGATCGCCCGCCCTTGCCCCCACCACCTGGAACGCTGAGGATGAGGTGCTGTCCTTGGGCAGCACTCGGTCACAGACCAGTGCAAGAGGGGGTTTTCCTCCAGCCCCAGACACACCAGGGTGTGCTGCTCTCACCCCA